TGGTTCCTTCCAATGCTTAAGGCACATCACTCCCACTTTCATATCCACCAAGAAGAAAATGCCTTCCCTACCCAGAGGACCAGGAAGTATAAAAGCAAGGGCAATGAGAATAAGTATATACCATCAGAGAGGGAGGTCTGAGGGGACTAAGAATTGGAGAAAAGAATAAAAACTTCTAGAAGGAAATTAAAACTGGATCAAATCTCAGTGTCAGGTTTCTGCTAACCCAATGTACCATTTTCCCCTCAATCTAGACAAGGTTGAAGCTAGGAAAAATAACCAGTTAGATGCTCATAAGCTATAAATATGAAGGCAGACTTACAGACGAATCAAGAGATCTGTGCTCTGTGAATTTATCAGGAACTGTTATATCTTGGCTCCTGACTCTGCTAATTTTTAGGGTACAATCTTGAGAAGGCCATCTCTAGGAGCCTCAGTTTCCTCATTTGAAAAATTAGGATAATAATATCTGCCTTACCTACTTCAGTGTTTTTATACAAAAGAACTTTGAAAATTGTTAGGCAATAAACAAATATAAGATGCTAGATTTTTTTGCTTAGTTTCTGAGTAAAAGTGTCCCTTAAAAAGTTCAGCCTGAATTGAGGGTTAAAGTTCAGCTTGAATTAAGGGTAAAGGATTTCCACATCAATGATAAGGGTAAATCATTCGATACCAGTAAAATGATTTTGGCCTTCAGGAAGTCAGGGGCAACAATGAGAGGAACTATTAAGAGTTTGGCACTGCAAGGGCAGAGCAAGCAAGCAGGGAAATCCAAAGAGATAGTAACAGTACTATATACATTGGCACATGAGTACACAGGGCAATTCTCTAAACAGTCGCATTTCTGTGTCTTGTCTTCACCTCAGCATCACATCTAAACGCAACACTCCGTACACACACCACAAACAAAGACAGTACTCCGTATTTCTGTCAATGGTACTAATGCCTCTCTAGTAACCCAGGCTTCTAGTCATCATCCTTGATGCCCTTTTTTCTCCTGACACTTGAATCACACACAAAGTCCTGTCAACCTTTCATTCTTCGTTGTCTCTCAAGTTCTATTTCCTTTGTATTCTCACTGCCTCTACTCTTCATTCTGGCTCTAACACACAACCCTATACACAAAGTTTTCCACCGTCTTTCTAACTGGTCTCTCAATCTCCTTCTCACCAGTTACCTCCATTCCATGCTTTCGGAACATCAAGTTCAAGCTAAAAAACTTTTTTAGTGGCTCCAAAGGTCCAAGGATGACTCCTTACTGAGCCAACTATAATAAACTCCTAACCATTCTCCATGTCCACTTTTACCCCTGTACAATTAATTTCTCCAGACAGAAAAAAAAAATCTTTCAAGAACATAAATCATTTCATTCCCTTGATTTAAATAAGTCAATGGCAACCCAATGCATTTAAAAATAACATTCAAAATCCTTGCCATGGGCTACAAAATCCAAATGATTCTGTGCTTGCCTACCTAATTTCATCTTTAACCATCCCCACTTCTTGTTCTCTATACCCTAGTCCCATGTGCCTTCTTTAAGTTCTCTTTAGCTCCCTGCCTCAAGGTCTTTGCACTCATTCTTCCTTCCACTGGAATGTATCTCCCCTGGACAGGTCTTTACTTAACTGGCTCATTCCCAGCACTCAGGTCTCAGCTCAAGGGTACTTATCCCCACAAGTTACTTCTCACAGCATCCTGTTTACTTCATTCCTGGTTCTTATCCAATATAGAATTTTCTTGTTTACTATATATCTCCCCATTTGAATGGATGCTCTTAGAGGACAGAAGGTTTTTTGTCTTGTTCACCATGTCTAGTAGTGCCTATTACATACTAAATGCTCAATCTATACTTTCTACTTTTTTAGTTAAATGAATGTATGGTCCAAATGTAAACTTTGCATTCAAATAACTCTTTCAATGGAGACTAGAAATTGGCATTAATGCCTGAGTGGTAACAGTAGGCATGAAGACACTCATTGAAGTTGGCCAAATAATATAACTAGACAAAAATATATGACCTAAAATAGGACACCAATAAAACTGATATCACATTTAAAGAGAAATCATGATCATATGTCTACTTCTTGAGTGTCTTTTAATGTCCAAAAAGTAGAAATTATTTAGAAATAATAAACCAACATTGGTTAACTCCTTCCACAGCAGGCACGTACAAGACAGAAATACAACATTAAAACAAAATGACAGCATGGGTATTTCAATACTTACTTTATATAAGATTAGCATTAACACTGGTTATTTCTTCAATTCGAAATTCATGTTTTAACAAGTAAAATTAAATGTATAATGCATCTCTAATAAAAAACCAGTAGTATTTCAGAGCATCAAATAAAAATATAAACATAAAACTGTGTAAAGTATACACTGTCATTCTAATATCAACTGGTGGAAAAGCAAAGCAAACTATTATGTAAAAATAAAGAAAACTGAAATACTTACAAAAAATGAAAAATAAATTTGACCTTTTTTTGGGAAGCATTGCAAATGAGCTGTTAGCATATTTTTGGCAAATTTTTCCAGGTACTAAAAAATCTATTTTAATTAGAGGCAACATAATGGTAAGGTAATTACCAATACCATCTTCAAATCATTTCATCTCTTCTTTGAGATCTCCCTCTATCTCTTTAATAACTTCTTTATTTTTGCAGAAACTGAAACCTTATTGATAATGAACTAGCTTGTGTCAAAGAAAACATTCCCAATTTGTCATCTCTTAATTTTATCAGGGACACCTGAATCAACTTCAACACTGTCAATTTCTTATTTTCCTTATCTGGAAAGTCTCCAAACTAGTTAGAATTACTTTTGTAATACAAAATTTGCTTTGACAATTTTCTTCCTTCTGAGATTATGGAAATACAGAATACTTTTTTAAAACACATGCACCATTCATTCAGTTTGAAAGCTGAAATAGAACATAAAATTTCCTTGCTATGTCCCAAGACAAAAAAACTTAAGGTTTTCTTTTTAATAGCCAAAAATTCCATAAAGCTGTATCATAAAAAATACTTTAAAACAGCACCAAATACCAGAACACCAGAATGTTGAGAACCAGTGGTGCAGTTATTAATGCTTGGCACCTTACATTTACAATTTAAATAGTCGTATGTGGTCATGGCCACTCTACTAGACAACAGGGCTCTTAATAAATAACAATTACGTGTTTATGTGTGTCTGTTTCTGGCTTTCTATTCTGTTCTGGAAACTATGGGATATGCACATGCCAATATCACACTGTCTTAATTATGTTGGCTTTACAATAGTACTTGATACCATGTATGGTAAGTCTCCCCATCTTGTTCTTTAAAATCACTGTAACAATTATTTGCCATTTTCTATTCCACCTGAGTCTTAGTATTACTTTGTCATATATCACAGAAATCTTACTGAAATTTTTGTTTACTACACTGAGTTATCCCATCCTTGAACATGGTATATCTAAGTACTCTTTGCTATCCTTTAATTAACTTGTATAATTTTTTTTTCCATGAAGGTCTTGTACATATTTTATAACTTTTATTTTTAAATAACTTACTGCTTTTATTTCTGTTATGATTGGAGTCTTTTCTTATTACAGTTTTAACTCAGTTATTACTAACACTAGGAATGAAATTAATGCATATGTGTTGACTCACATCAGCAACCTTGCTGAACTCTAATTGTAATACACCTATGGGTTCTTTTGCATTTTTGTGTATTAATCATATCACTTACATAAGTACATTGTAGTGATTTAAAAATATGCCCACACATTCTTTGATATACCTCCCTTGAGGACATAAAGTTTAAATTCCCTCCCCCTGAGTATGAGCTTACTAAAATTCACTTCTATCAAATAGAATGCGGTAGAAGTGGCTTCCAAGATAAGGCAATAAAACACATCCATGCCTCCTCTTTGCTCTCTCACAGACGGCTCGCTCTGAAGAGAGCCAGCTGCCACATCCTCAGGACACCCAAGCAGAAATACAGAGAAATCAGTTCAAGCTACAAGTCAAGTTAATAAAAAAAGCAGCAACAAAATCTTAGGCAGAGGACACAGGAGTACGGGAGAAGAGGTTCAACCCCCAGCTCAGCCTTTGCTAGTTGTCTTCCCCTGAACAAATTAATTTAGACTCTATGCCTCAGTTTCCTTCTCTGTAAAATAGAAATGGTGCTTAATAGGACTGTGCCAAGGATTGAGGTTACTAAGTATTTTAAAGCACTCCGCACAACGTCTGACATAGAGCAAGCACTGAGGACAGTTATTACTGTAATTCCTACACAACTGATTATTACAGCTCTTTAGGCTAGGGGCTCCCTGGTACCACCATTATTTTTTAAGGAATGAGAAGTGTTACTATTCAATGGTATATATATTTTTACCTCAATATGTTTATATTATGAACACTGTGGGCCGTTTTACAGAATAAATATATCTTTGCAAAAAACTGTGTTGGAAAATCTGCTTCTCAGCACAGCGTGTTAATTAGGGGGCAAATGCTGTGTTTGAACAAGGGCGCGCCGAGGCCAGATGCCATTATGGACATTTCAACGGCTTCTGTTTACGCCTAGACTGCGGACTCCTCACATTCGACCACGTACTGCTGTCTGTGCTAATGCGGCAAAAACACACGTGTCCCCCAGGCCTGATAAGGAGAGGCCGGTTAGGGCTTCCGCTCGGATTCCGGACCGCCCGTGTCACCGCGAGCGCGCCCCACCGCAGGCCCGCCGCGGCCGGCAAGTCCGGGCTGGCACCCTCCCCTGGACACCCACAGCCTTCACCCGCAAACGCAATCACCACCCATCACCCCAACCCCAAGCAGGCCTTTTCCGGCGCTCACGAGCAGCACAGACCCCGGGGCCCGCGGGGACCTGTCCGGCTCCCTCGCCCCTCAAGCCCCTCGGCCAGGCCCCGGGCCGCGTTTCTCCCGTGCTTCAGGGCCGGCGGGGGAGGTATCAGTCGCTCCCCTCCAGGACAGGTTCACAGGTCCCCTCCCAGGTACCTTCGACTTCGCCGAGCAGAGGTGACAGCTCCTACACTCTCCCGGCGGCGAAGGCGGCCAAGGCGGCGGCGGCGGCAGGCCCAGGTGAAAAGTCGGTCACAGAGACGAGCGGAGCCTCCATCTGAGCCAGAGCGGCCTCACGCTGCGGCGGCCGGCGCGCCCCCTGGAGGCGGGCAGCCCGCACGGCGGCTCAGGCGGCTCTGAATCAACTCAGAACCTCGGAGTCAGCTTGCTTTGAATTAGGCCAAGTACCAAAAGTGTGGCATAGGAGAAGAAGACAACCTAAAAGTGTTTTCTCCGATCTGAGTCTGGGAGCGTTTTGCAATTTTCACGTCCTTTTCTAAACCTCTCAGCTAAACGAAGCCTTCAAAGGCAAGGTGTGTTTTATGAAGAGCTGTAGGCATCAATTAATAGTTGCTGGCTGCTACATAAGTCTTCTCTATAACTCAAAGAAATATATTTGTAATAGCAACTAATGATGAGTGCTCTTACTCTAACATATAACTGAGTTTTTATTTTTTTGTAAAAACGGTTTATTTACATCCCTCTTTTTATGATTCCCAGACTAAGTGCAACATACATGTGTACAGCCAAAACTAAAAATTATGTGGTGGGGTGGTGGGAAGTTCACTTACTGAAAATACCTTTTTTTTTTTTTTTCCTTTTAGTTTACCAATCCTGGTCCTACCGCCAAGAAGACTTCCTCTGCACAGTGACGGTCCTTCCTCTGAACTCTGGCACACTCATTCAACCAAGCCACCTCGGGGATGTCTCATGCCCACCCATTCAAGGGCTATTTCTCCGGCTAACAGTTTGTTCTTGAAAATGTCATGCAACTCTTTAGGATTACTGTCAAATTTGAGAAAACCTCTATCAAATTTCTTTCATAAAAGAATTATAAGATTTCAGGGCATTTCACTTGTTGTGCAGTGTGACTAATCATGAATGTTGAATACTCTTCAAATTGATGCCATTTATTAACCACTTTGTCATGGATGTCCTCCTTATGGTTGTGTGTTAATGATATTTTCATTGATGCTCGTAAATTACGTGAAATCATCCAAGAACTTCAATCATTTTCCAAAGTGTTCAAGTGATTCATATTCTTCTTCATTAATTGTCTTATCAAACAATCTAAGAGTCTATTCATTACTTCTACTTAAATGTATTCTCCTCTCCTTCTTCATGAATTACTGCTTTGGTGTGATCTGAAAAATGTTAGGACTATGCAGATAGCTTTTCCCCTGATGAGATTAAGGGAATGAATTGCATGCGACACATATTCTGTGACGCCTTCATGTCACCACCTGGGGACTTAGCAAAGTAGACATAAGAAATATTCATGGAAGCCACTGCCACACTCCAACAACTTAGCCCTGTATGGAAATGATCATGAACCACAGAAATTTATCCCACTAAATGCAAACCAAATTATCCCCAATTGCATTTATGTTTAACCCGAGTCCAAAAATATCTCTCACCACTCCATGCTAGTCAACCAAAGGAGGAGAAAGACTTAGGGAGTCTGAGTGAAGAGACAGCAGACTTAATCAGTGAAAATATTTTAATTTTGCAAGCTTTTGAGAAACATTGGACCATGTGAACAAACTTTCAGAGTCCCTACTAGGCACTTGGAAGGGGCCTGTAGAAGGGAAGACTATATTAGTTCCCTAGTTTTGCGATAACAAACTACCGCCAACTTAAAGACTTAAAACAACACTAATTATTTCTCTTACAGTTCAAGAGATCAGATGTCCAAAATCAGTTTCACTCGGATAAAATCAAAGCGTTGGCAGTGATGCATTCCTTCTGGAGGCTATAGGGGCAAACCCATTACCTTGCCTTCTCCAGCTTCTAGGGGCTGCCTGCATTCTCTGGCTCACAGCCCCTTCCTCTATCTTCAGAACCAGCAGCGTGGCATCTTTCTGACCTCAGCTTCTCTCCTTGCATCTTTTCTAACTATAAGGACCCTTGGATTACATCGATCACACCTGGACAACCCAGAATATTCTCTCCATCTCAAGGCTTTTAACTTAATCACACCTGCAAAGTCCTTTTTACTGTGCAAGGTAAAATAGTCACTGATTCTGGGGATTAGGACATGGACACCTTTGAGGAAGTATTCTTCAGCCCACCACAAGTTCCCTGAAGCTTAAACTTCATTTCCTTCAGGTAAATCTGCCCCTTCCTCCTCATTACCAAGATCTACTTGGTCCTGAGTTCTGATCGTGGGAGTTCCAATGGGAAAGAATGCCTGTAATTACAATGGGGGCAAGTGTTAACGAAGGAAAAGAGGAGAGATGCTATGAAGGCAAACAATGTCCCAAAATATGGCAACTAATTTAAAAGGAAAGCCCGCGATGTCTTTGAATAAGGGAGACATGTGAGACCCAAAGAATGAGGAGTTAATTATGCAACAAACAAGGGAAGCTTTCTAGACAGCAAAGGCAGTATGTGTGCCCTGAGAATGGTGACGTCAGAAGGTCAGGGCAGCTGAGTTGTAGCCCATACAGTAAATCCTTAGTACCTACCACAGTGAATGGCCCACAGTAGGTGCTTAGTAGATCTCAACCCTGGCAGCACATAACAATCACCACAGGAGCTTAAAAATACCAACACCCAGGCCCTAGTCAAGACCAAGTCAAAACTGTTTGAAAGTAAAATACAGCCCAGTGTCTATGTTTCAAAGCTTCTTAGGGAATTCTAGATACAATTAAATGAATGAATGAATGAATGAATGAATGACAGAAAACATTTTTAGGGTAGGATTTCTTTTAGGAGGTTTTCTTGTATTTGAGGAAAAGAAAGATTTTGACTATATTAGTTTGACTATATGATCAGAAAATGCAGAAGAGACTTTCAAAACTGCAATTGAATGCTTATCAGAAGAGACTCAAATGATCTAGCAATCCTCCCTGTGTAACCATGTTTCTGTAGAAAAGAGATGTGTTGGAATGGGGAAGTGTTTAAAAACCACAGTGTACCTGCAAAGGAGGAGGCCTTTCTTCTTGTTTTTGAACTATAGTTCTATTCCAGAAGCATTTTGGGTTTTGGTAGTACTAATGAATGACCGTCAGAGGGAGATGTGCTCCAGAAAGTGTTTGCCACCAATGACCCATCTCACACAGTACCGGTGTGAATCAGGTATTTTGTTTGTTTGTTTGTTTGTTTGTTTGTTTTTACACCACCAAGGGATCTCAAGGCATGCCCATTAAACGAGTGAGCCGCATGGTATGAGACAGGTAGCATATATTTAACTACAACAGAATTAGATTCATTTCAGTTCTCCAACAGTTTAAACAATTAAACCACCAGGGGGAAAACAATGAAATATCTGCATGTGCCAGGCATTGCATTTGCAAACCTAAGAGAAAAATTTGAAGGCTTAGACTCTAAGCCTTCCTCCATCAATCATCACAACTTGAAATTAAATATTCAAGTAAAACTTTCAGGAAGGGATCTCTCTCTCTGTTAATTGCGAAGTAAACATCTTAGATCACCTTGAATGTGTGGAGTTACCAAAATAACAGCTGGATTCCTGGAAAGAAGAAAACAGGTTGGCTCCTCACTGCAACACCCATGTGTTGTTTTTCTTTGCACTTACAGGCCTAGGTCAGAACCACAGAGCTTTTCACACATATATGAGACAAAATAAGGTATACAGTGACTAGCCCTTATGAATCTTCTATTTCAAAAGTTAAGTAACTGATCATTAGTAAGGGAATACCTTTTGCAAAGGTTGAAGCAAATACATTGCTTTGTGATGCCTTTACAGGTGACTAGTGAAAGGCTGTGTTTAGTCAGGGATGCAGTACAGGCTGCGGCACAGCCTAACGGATTTGTTACAGGCATTCCACCTCACACCGTTGCAGGAGTCATCCAGAAAGTGAAAATTTGGAAGTGAGTATTGAAGGATCAGATAAAAGGTCACAAACTGGCCTGCCTGAGAATTTGGGGAAGGCAAGGATGGCCTTTAAAAAGGTCCACTAAGGAAGAGCTCTTGGACAGGTGTACGCCAGCTTTAACCTCTGTGTGAGTTAAAGCTTTAACTGCTCCTGTGAGTGCCCTACCACGCAGCTGGTGGTGGGCCCAGCGCTCTGCTGGTCAGCAGGGCCAGCAGGCAAGAAGAAGAGCAGACTATGAAGTGCAGGAGGGTAAGGACAAGCTGGAAACTGGGGGCACCTCGCATTTGTATGTCACTGTACCCTTCTGAAAGGACTTTCAGGAGGTAATGCCACTCCCTTGCTCTGTCTCCCACTTCTCATGCAAGGTTCTCTAAACTGGAAGGTGAGAGAGGACTCTGAGAAACATTGTACCAAATGAACCAAGTTGACAAAAATACAATCCAGTACGCATTATCTTTACAACTAACATTGCAGATGAGAAAACTAAGGGCCACATAGTTAGGTAACTTGCTGAAACTCTCATTGCTAACTAGAAGCAGCAAGCTCAGGATTCAAATTAGAGGAATCATCTTCACTCCTCTATCATGCCTCTTATCCTTCGTGGAACTTACATGCTTTTGAGTATTTCAAGAGAATTGTAGAAGAATTTCATGCATCACCTCTGAGTTGCCTTCCTAGGCTAAGCCTCTATGTGCCATTTCCAAATGATCACTACACATAAAGCAGACTTCATTCCATAATCTCTGGGCACCTGGGTTGCAGGGACTCTTTGGTGAAAAGATACAGCTGTGACCACCAGATCTCAAAATCACTGAGTAATGACATAGAAGCTTTGAGGCACGTGAAAGTAATATCTAGCTTGGGATATGGAGGACTATGTGAGAACTTGGGTTCCAAAGCACTCACTAAATGATTTCCCAAAGAATACTGCTGCATGTCATTGAAAAAGTCAATAAAAACTCTCAACGTACATAAGAAAATATGATGTTCACACATGACCATTTATTTTATACTTCAAAACAAGCACCAGCAACTTGGGAAGTCAGTAGGTTTGTAAATTTTTTCACAGAAATGGACAGAGTGAGGCAACAGGAAATAATATGGGGAAGCTCATGGCCCAGGCTAGCCTTGCCTTTTTAAAATTTCTTTCTGGTTGTTAAGTTTCCTTTCTCACCCTTTAATATTCCCACTCCTTAGAGACCCTGCTAGTTCAGGGTCCGTTAAATCTGGCCA